AGTGCAGACCAATTTAATTAAATGTTCCTGTACTGGAACTTTTTGCATGCTATTTCCCAAATCTACAAACTTGTTTATTTAGAGTCTCATTAAGTTATCCTATTTGACCTTGGATTTACTTGATAGCCCAAAGAGGCCTTTGACATTTGGTTTTCCTGCCATAGTCTCTTTTATTTCGGGGAGCCTCACCCCACCCCCTGGCATCTATCTTGAAATGTTGATTAAAAAGTTCATTTCAAAGCTCCCTCCCTAGGAGTTGCCTCAGTCCAAACTCCAGCTCCAAGAAAGCCCTCCAAATGGTGACCCCTCTCAAGAGAGGGTCAAGACCATTCCCAGAGACTACTGTCCCCAAGAGAATGAACTTGTGTCTCCCTTTTCCCCTCTCCATGTTTTCTGGGGACTACCCAGGAGTGATGACAGCCGTTAAACCTGGACATTTTTTTAATTTGGTTTGATTTGGTCTAATTGGGATAATTGTGTTGGTGGAAAAGTTTGTCAGTCAGAAAATACTTAATATTTGGAGGTCCCACTGAGAGAAGTTGTTTTTCCCACTGGCCCAGGGCTATGGGTTGGAAAATGCCCTTTTCTCCCACGCTCTCTGCCTGGATAACATCTGCTTCATCTTGGTGCGTTCTCCCCCCCCCCCCCTTTTTTTCTAGTACATGCCTGTAGGGCCCAGAGCTTCCTTACATTTACGTTTGTTGTTTGTCAGGACATCTGTGTAAGCTATGGTCCATGCCAGGCACCCTTCACAAGTGGAGAGGCAGTCATCGCTGAGGTGCGATTGTGTGGTTAGAGAATTTTGCCCAAGCATTTCTCATGCCCCTCTGTTTTTGCCTCCAGAGTTTTATCATGGTGGATGCATTGTGAAAGGCATTGAGTCCTGAGATTTGATATAGACTTGTAAAATTGGCTTTTTCAATTTAAAGCCGGTTCTTCTACTGCCTCTGGCTGTCTTCTACAAAATCTTTATAAATTGGGACTGTCCAATACCATCTGTCCTGAATGGCTAATCTCACTATGCACTAAGATCTGGCCTCAATGTGACCATGATAATGGGACATGATGACCACCGGAGTAAACTCTTGAATTTTCCATCCTCCAAGACCTTGAAAATTTTTGTTGACATGGGGATAAGTGGACAAAACTCTTGTATGTCCATGGTCTCGTGGTGCTATACTCCCAACCTTCCCTTAGTAGCCAGTGTCTTACAGTACAAGTTTTTGTCACTAGGGTCACAGAGCCTCCAGGTTCCTGACTATCTAAGAATTGGGACCCTGAAAGTTCTGCTATGATCATGCTCCCAGATACACTGGCCCCTCCCCTACTCCCTCCAACTGTGACTACCCAACCCCATCCTGTGGAGCAACATCCTCCACATTCCTCCCTCTCTCCACACCTCCCCACTCCCTCCTCAGCCAAAGAAAAGGTTGAAGGCCAACTTTCTCCTCCCTACCCACCTTCCTACCCTCCCCTTCCTCAGACACCTTCTCCCTACCCCTCATGCTACAACCAACCTCTTGGACTCCTTCTACACATTGACCTAAATAAACCCTCCCAATCCTCTCTGTCTCCTCTCATACCAGGTCTCCCAATAACCCTGCCCTGCTCTGCCCACTCCAGGAGTTAGCGAGCCTGATGGTGTTATTAAAGTCCAGGATCCCTCTCTCTTCCAGACCACTCTCAAATAGAAAAGTGGTTGGGTTTCTTCTCTGCTAATCCTTCTGTTTATATTAAAAAGTTTCACTATTTGTTCCAGGCCTGCAATTTAACTTGGCATAATTTCTATGTCATTCAGGCCTCTACTCTCATTTGCATCCTAAAATGCAAAGTAAAATTCAGACAGAAGCTAGACAGTATGCAAACCAGGCCCACCTAGTAGACAATACAGTCTCTATGGGGGAGATGGCTGTGCCAGCCACAGAACCATACTGGGATTATCAACCAGGCCAAAAGGGCTGACAGAGGTTGAACATTATTATCTTCTCCCTCCTTCTGTGTATGGAGATGGTTTCAGAAAAAGCTGTTAATTTTGACAAACTCTGGGAGATCACACAGCTAGCTGACAAAAACTCAACCATTTTTAAACCAATTACAAGAGACAGTTGTTTAGTATACTAGACTGGACCCAGCCTCTCAAGTGGGAACCACGGCCCTGGTTACCCATTTTATTTATTAGTCAGCACCAGATATTAGAAAAAAAATAAAAAATAAAAGGTTGAGTAGAGTCCCCAAACCCCCATACAGAAATTGGTGGAAATGGCCTTTATAGTTTTTAGTGCTCAAGAAGAGGTAGCTGAGTCCTCCCGACAAACAAGGCTACAACAGGCAGCAATGCTACAAGCCCAAGCCCTAGCAGCTGCCCTGAGGCCACCAGAACCCCCAACAGAGGAAAAAGGGAAGTCAACCACAAGGCTCTTTCCAGAGTACTGCATAAGATAACCTCGTCAGGAACCTGCTATAAATGTGGCCTAAATGGCCATTTGGTACAATATTGCACTGGGCCTCTGCTGCCTATAAAGCCATGCCCTATCTTCCACAAGCCTGGACACTGGAAACCACAATGCACCTATGTGGGCTCATCCTCTATGCCACACTAGGGAGGTCCAGCCTCACCAACATTGGCAAGTGAGACTGTGCCAGCCTTCAAACTACTCGGCCTGGTAAAGTATTGATGCAGCCCAGACTTGGTGATTCCTATCACCCTCTCAGAGCTAAGGGTAATGCTGCAGGTAGCGGGCAATTCCATTATTTTTCTTTAGAACATAGGAGCTACCTACTCTGTTTTAACATCTCACTTGGGCACTACATTCCCCTCACAAATTTCAGTCATGGGAGACCCACTCCTTCCCACTTAAGGCTCTGCCACTTGCCAGGATTTTTGCAGGGCTATTCTTTGCTCATTCTTTCCTAGTCATACCTGCTTACCCTGCACCTCTACTTGGTTGAGATATTCTCAGCTGCTTTAGGACCATACTCACTTTGACAACCATAGCCTCTCCAGAGTAGTCACACTTTCTTCTCACCATTTTTTTTTCTAGTAGACTAACCACATATTCAGTGACAATGAGGCTGTTCCCTAAGTCTTCTTTTCAAAAATGAACAGAAGTAAGTCACATATGCACAACTATATAGGCCCTTTGTTTATATGTTTATGTGCTGAAAGTTATTCTCTGTTCTTCTACATTTAGAAAACACTGCCTCTGGGAGATCATGTCAACTTGCCTTGCACCACTTCCATCCTTCCCATGAGTAAGTCCTCTGGCACTTATTGTTTGGTTCAAGACCTCTGCCTCATAAATGAGGCAGTTATTCCAATTCACCCAATAGTTAACAACCCATCAAATATCCTATTTAAAATCCCTCCTGTCACCTCTTTCTTTACTGTTCTGAACCTAAAAGATGCTTCTTCACTGTCCCTTTACACCCTGACTCATACTTCCTCTTTGTCTTTCCCTGGGAGGGCTCTGACTCCCAGTTCCCCAGACAGTTTACATGGACTATTCTCCCTCAGGATTTTTGGGACAGCCCCCATTTCTTTGTCCAAGCTGTGGCTCAAATCTCACAAACTTCAGCTTCCAGCCTTCCAGCCTGAATCTCTCTTTTTTCTGTCTCCCTCTTGGAGAGGCAGCTTCTATCTCCCTTTTCTCCTCTCTCTCTCTCTCTCTCTCTCTCTCTCTCTCTCTCTCTCTCTCTCTCTCTCTCTCTCTCTCCACTTCTCCCCTTCTCCCCCCTTCCCTAAACACTAAATAAATATTCAACCTCACTCTGCATGGCATGCCTATCCATATCTCTGCCTCTTGCCTACCATGTGTCTCCCTGCCCGGGACCAGCCACAGCTCAGGGAACTGCAGCTGTCCCTGCCTGGGACTGGCTGCTCTTAGGGCCTACTGCCTGCCACCATATGGCCCGCTGCCACTGCTTGGGGACCTGCAGTGTTTCTGATGCCTGCTGCCACCAGGGATCTTGCAGCATTTTTAATAATTTTTAATAATCCATTACATTGGTGCTGAAACACTCAGGAGGCTCTCCTGCCCTGAGTCCCTTTCCTGGGGTTGGGATCCTGAACAAGGTATTTTTTTTTCCGCAACAACCCTGTGTTCCATATGCCTGAGTGTGATTTCTACTCATACCACTGGCTTCAATTGGTGAGTTTCCCCCATTCTGATCAGCTTAACTGTTTCTCCAAACACAAGAAATTGACCATGGAGCTCCGGCAATCCTCTGGTGCTCCTAGAAATGAGGGGACTGCCCCCAACCACAGTCTTCAAGGCCCTTTGCTGAAATGCATTTCTGGATTGCTTCCCTTAGCTAAAATTGTGACTGGACTGACCTGGGGTCAGTCTTCCCACTGTACAATCTGTGTGGTGCATTTGACTCGGGGCCCAGGGTCCCTCAGTTTTTCTCTCTTTTTTTTCTTTTTTCTTTTTTTTCTTTTTACCCTCACCATAAAAGGATGCTAAGAGCAGCCTCTGGTCTCTGGTTTCCAAGCCACCATGACTGCATCCAGTCAGGCAATAGCAGCCCACCCGTGGGTCAGGGTATGCCCTCCCATGGGTCCTGGAGTGTTTGTTCCAATTTACACCCTGACTATAGGGGAAACATCCTGTTATAGGCCTTGTGGTGTCACCAATTTCATGGGTTTTCACAGTTTCAGCTGTGAGTAGCAAACCATCCATGGGATGGATGACTTTTAGGGGACCTAAAACCACAAGCCTTAATGCCCCACTTCTTCAGCTCTTACCTTCACTTTGCTGGTGTCCCTCCAGCTCCACTTTTATGGGAGCTTTCTAACTACTGTGAGCACACAGGCAAATGGAAAGTGTTTTCTCAAACTTTCCCTGCCACTACTGTCAACAAGATTGGTCAGATCCACAAGGCAGCTTAATTTTTTTTCAATTCCAGGCTTTTGCTCCCCTCTGCAGCTTGTGGGATGTTGGCTCATCCACAGGGTGGATCATGCCTCTATATTTCTCTTATTAATCTTAAAATCTCTGCAGCTCAGAAACGATGGCTTTTCCATCTCTTATTAAGCTTAAAATCACTGCAGCTCAAAAACTGTGGCTTTTATACGCAACATGTGACTGCTACCATTTTGACTGGGGTCAGGTGACTTTGGCACCACCTTGGCTGAAAGCCAGGTCATGTGACCAAGTTCAGTCATCAACTGAGGTATTCCCTCTCTGGTTCCCCAGTGTTAACTCTGTTACATGTGTGATCTTACAACAATCTTAACTGAGAGCCAGGTCAGGTGACCAAGTTCTCCCATCTTTACTGAAGTATACCCTACCTCGTCCCCCAGTTTACTTATGTTTTTTTTTTTGACTAAATTCCTCTTGTTGACTCTATTGCATGAGTTTTGCGCAGTGGCATGCCTTTGGTGGGGTTCACCAAGATCATTCACTTTGCCCAATTCACTCTGTGTGTGTGTGTGTTCATACATGTAACTTAAATGCACCTATGCTTAATGTTACAATTGTTCATTGCATCTCATTTCAGACTACAAAAACAATAAGTCTCATGTTTTAAACTGGTATGTACTTTTAAATCTCTTACAAAAATACTTTATATTTAATCCAACCCTCATTTAAAATATATTAAGATGTTCTCTACTATTGTCAGTTCTATTAACCTTCTATTGCAAGCAGTTTTTTCTTCTTTCTGTCTTTTTTATGAGTGTAAATCTTACCTGTTGAGAGCCAATAGAGTCAAGCTCAGACCCAGCCCTCCAGGCAGATTCTATACTGTAGCTGCACCTAATAACCAGCCCTCAACTGCTCAGAAATCTAGGAAATATGGCATTTAAATATTTAATCATTAAAAACTTTTCATAACAAAAAGAGACAGGTTGGATCTTAGTGACACTCTACTTCCTCTAAAGAAGACAGAAGACAAATGGGCATACAACAATGTCCATCTACAATTCAATGCAACTGCCAAGTGCTGACCACTGGGAAAAACTACCTTTCATCTAAACTGAAGATCACTTGACATGTACAGAATTACTGGAATTGACAGCCTAGCTGCTCAGGTCAAGGTAGGCTTTTCTTGCTATAGATTTCTTAGCCCACAGGATCTTCTGGACCATGGTAGGCCCAGTACTAGACAGCAGAAAGCAAATACAACCTTCAGCGACCATGGAGGACCCTGAAGAATAGCTCTAGGTGCCAACAAAATAAGTTCTCTGTCATTTTGTCATTTTTTAATCAGTAACTCAACTAAAATTTTATTCTTCTCAAAGATTGCTGATGCAGTTTGACAGATGAGTAGTTTTTTTTCAGTTTAAAAGGACAACCATACCAAACAAATTTCAGTAAAATTCAAATACAAGACCTGCAAGTTATAAAGGTGTGAGGACAAATACAAGTTATAAAATTTCTCTTTCACACTGATTTCCATAATCTTAAAAATATTTTTCATTATGCAAAAAAATATCTGTAACAGTCATTCTGAGATAAATATGCTACTGTTTATACAATGTATATGTCTACAACTTCTGTTCTTATAAACACAAAGAATTCTTGTGAGTTCCAGGGAGCTGAATTGAAAGATCCACCTTAAACAGTTCAGATACACCCCTCTCAATTCCCTGGTCCTAAAAAACTTTTTCCCTTAATATAACTTTGTCTTCTGTTCTGCCAATACCTTAAAAAGGTGTAAGAGACACCATACATTTCCATATCACAAACACCAGACAGGAGCAAAGAGACCAGCTATGCCAGGTTGTGACCAGCACCCAGCCTTCTCAGGTTCCCCCAAAGATGATACCCACAAATAAGCAGGAAGAAGTCTTGAGAACCCGCCAACCCAATTCCTTTAATCTGTGGTGTCTAACCTCCCACCTTTTTATTATATAAATGAGATGAGAATGTAATGATCTGTTCTGTCTCTTTAAGAGACAAGCCATGCCCACTCCCCCCCTGTCTGCTGAGACAGGCTGATCTTCAGCCTCCAGCCTGAGTTCCCTCTCTTTTCTGTCTCCCTCTCAAAGAGGGAGCTTCTGCCTCTCCCCACTTCTCCCCTTTCCCCTTCTTTCTCTCTCTCTCTCTCTCTCTCTCTCTCTCTCTCTCTCTCTCTCTCTCTCTCTCTCTCTCTCTCTCTCTCTTCTCTCTCTCTCCACTCCTCCCCTTCTCCCCCTTCCATAAACACAAAATAAATATCCAACCTCACTCTGCATGGCGTGCCTATCCATGTCTATCTCTTGCTCACCCTGTGTCTCCCTGCATGGGGCCAGCCACAGCTGAGGGACCTGCAGCCATCCCTTCCTGGGATTGGCTGCTCTTAGGGCCTGCTACCTGCCACCACATGGCCCGCTGCCACTGCTTGGAGACCTGCAGTGTTTTTGCTGCCTGCTGCAACCAGGGATTCTGCAGCATTTTCATAATTGATTACACTGGTCCTAGCATGCTTCTCCAGTACATTGATAATCTCCTCTACAGCCCTATATTGTCTCTGTCCCAACAGGCCACCTTTAAACTCTTAAACTTCCTTATATCCCTGGAATATTGTGTCTCACCAGTTAAGGCTCAGCTGTGCTTTCCCAAGGTGGTATATTTGGGTGTTCAATTCAGCCTGGGATCTAAGACCCTGATCTCTGACAGGTCCCAGGCCCTGCAGAATTTACAAACCCCAAACCAAACACAGCAGCTCAAATTCTCTCATTTTTTTGGGTCCGCTAGGTTTCTTTTGTTATTGTTTCCCTAACTTTGCTATTAAAGCCAAGCCTCTGTAGCAGGCACCCAGAGAAACCCACACAGGGCCTCTTACTCACCCAGGCATTTCCACTGCCACTTTTCTCTACTGTAAGATGCCCCTTTAACAGCCTCTGCTTTTCATCTTCCAGACCCCCAAGACCTTACCACTTTTATACAGATGAGAGGTCAGGAGTGGCCACAGGAGTTATAACCCAACAGGTTGGGCCTTCAAATAGAGCTGGCCTCACCATCTGTGGATGGAAGCCATGTTTAAGTGCTCTAGGACCAGCAGCTGAATTCACACTGGAGGCTCTCAAGATCACCCTCTCCAGGCCAATCACAGTATATTCCATACACCACTTCTCAGAATTTGAGTCATTTCTTTCTCTCTCTCCTTGGACCTTCACAACTCCAGGTGTAGAATATGTCATTTAAATAATTTAGGGTTCTGTTGAAGTGAGACACAATTGCTCTTGGCATGACCAATCTATTCCCAAGAGAATGCTGTGCACCGAAGACCCTCCACTTGGAGCTTGTTTACTTCTTGGCAAAGCTGGCCTTTGGGCAAGAACTGCCCAAGCCTCAATCACTAACAAGGTACATGGTATCCAGAAATTGATAAGCAGGACACAAGAAAAAAAGTGCTAAACCTTGCCAGGACAGTATAAGATAGTTTTGAAAAATTCCCTGACTCTGAAAATGGTCTATCAGTTATTCTAGGACTTAACCAAAGTTAGTTGCTTCAACATTGCAAATGAGACTTTGGGCGATTGCCCAGGTAGCCAGTTGTCTCCATCATTTGTTGTACATTTTGGAAGTTGCTTGATAACACTTCCTGCTTACACAAGTAATATTATTTCCTTTCTCAGATCTTCGATGAGGTTGAAGTCTAGATAGATGTAGTTAATTTCCTCTCATGACTTGACCAATTTATTTATTATACAAGACTTAAACTCATTAGGATAGGATAATTTATTAATATATTTGTTCATACTGTATATAATTTGTATTAGACTTAGAACTCTCTTATTTCAACCAAAAGGGGAGGTGCCAGGAACAATCATGTCTCACTTCAACAGAAACCTAAGTTATTTAAATCTCATATTCTACAGTTCTTTGAAGTGGTTGAATATTACCTATCTATGCAGAATACAATCTTTATGTGGCTAAAGAACCTGATTAGTCTAACTATAAGTATGACAAACGTAGATGACTATTGATCTATAATTCTTAATACCTAATAGCTTAAAGACTAACACTTTATATTAGAATATTATACAATAAACAGCTGTGCAACAAATAAAAACAATTACCTCAAAATGTAAACAATGAATAAGTATCTTCATCAGAGTTAGAAATGTACTTTGAAATATGATAAATATATCCTAAAATTGCAACAATTTATAAAAATGTTTTAATCAGAGGTAGAAGCATGCATGTATACAATATGACAAAATAACTTTGCCTAGGTATACAAATATGGTGGATAAAAATAGGAACATATTCAATATAATTTAAGTTTGTATCAATATATAAAAATATATATCAATATAAATTATCTATAAATAATACCTCACAAGTATTAACTCTATTACTCATTATTAAGTGAGTAAGCTCACTTAATAATGTAAGCTTACACTATTATTCTATCCACTTTTCCCCTTTTTTCCCAAAGAGATCCCTGAGCCTACAAAATTTCACCCCAATCCCCAACTCTATACAAATTATAATCATCCCCTAAATGATGTCCCTAATCCTGAAGACAAACTTTGTTGGGAAAGGGGATGTCATCTTCTAGAATTACTTCCATTTGTCACAGGTGTGATGTTCTTTCTATGGGATCCTTGAAAATAAAATGATGGTTAAGCTCGAAGATTACTGTCTGCTGTAATTGCAAATGGTCACTGAGTATTTGGTAGGGTTTTACTGAGGTTTCTATTTGGAGTTCTGGCCAGAACATTGTAAAAAATGCACCATTTCAGCTAACAAATTTGGAAAAATCTTGAGCATTTGGTACCCAAAACACAGGTCCTATTGTAGCCTTATCAGTATCAGGATGTCATATCAACCAAGGGAAGTTTTTGTTATGAGGGAACCATTTTCTTCCTGGAAACTTCAAAGATTACTGCAGGAAAATTCACTCTTCATTGTAGAAAACTTCAACATTTTTTATACAGACATATATATTCAATGAAATGTACTATAGAGACAAAAATAGTTATGAAGAAAGTAATTTTTTTAAATCCTTTCTTCTTTTTGTCCTATAGCAGATGGCTCTTGACATGAGAGAAACTCTGAATTTTTCTTTTAACAACATGCTTTAGACTTCCTGCCGCTACCCGTGTAGAGGGTGGGTGGCGGCAGACTGGCTCCGCGGCGCTCCCCTCCCCTCTTCCCTCCCTCCCTCTCCCTCCCTCCCTTGGCTGCCCCGAGGAGACTCCCAAGCTGGCCTCGGTGTGAGTGAGGGGCGCCTCAGCAGGCTTAGGAGAAGGACACACGCGGTCTGCGCTTCGCGTCACCCTGCTCGCCTCCGCCATAGCCAGGAGGCAGACGCTGCTCACTTGCTCCGGCCACACGAGGCCCGTGGTGGACTTGGCCTTCAGCGGCATCATGCCTTATGGTTATTTTCTGATCAGTGCCTGTAAAGATGGCAAACCTATGCTCCGCCAGGGAGATACAGGAGACTGGATTGGAACATTTTTGGGTCATAAAGGTGGTGTTTGGGGTGCAACGTTGAATAAAGATGCCACCAAAGCTGCCACAGCAGCTGCAGATTTCACAGCCAAAGTGTGGGATGCTGTCACGGGAGATGAATTGATGACCCTGGCTCATAAGCACATTGTCAAGACTGTGGATTTCACACAGGAGAGCAACTACCTGTTAACTGGGGGGCAGGATAAACTGCTGCGCATATATGACTTGAACAAACCTGAGGCAGAACCTAAGGAAATTAGTGGTCACACTTCCGGTATTAAAAAGGCTCTTTGGTGCAGCGAGAATAAACAGATTCTTTCAGCTGATGATAAAACTGTTCGTCTTTGGGATCATGCTACAATGACTGAAGTGAAATCTGTGAATTTTAACATGTCTGTTAGCAGCATGGAATATATCCCTGAGGGAGAGGTCCTGGTTCTCACTTATGGGCAGACTATTGCTTTTCATAGTGCAGTAAGTCTGGAGCCAATTAAATCCTTTGAAGCTCCTGCAACCATCAATTCCGCGTCTCTTCATCCTGAGAAGGAATTTCTTGTTGCAGGTGAAGAAGACTTTAAACTGTATAAGTATGACTACAATAGTGGAGAAGAATTAGAATCCTACAATGGTCACTTTGGCCCCATTCACTGTGTGAGGTTTAGTCCTGATGGTGAACTCTATGCCAGTGGTTCTGAAGATGGGACATTGAGATTGTGGCAAACTGTAAAAGGAAAAACCTATGGTCTTTGGAAATGCGTGCTTCCTGAGGAAGACAGCGGGGAACTGGCAAAGCCAAAGGTCGATTTTCAAGAAACAGCGGAAGAGGAGCTGGAAGAAATTGCTTCACAGAATTCAGATTCCATCTATTCTTCAACTCCTGAAGTTAAGGCCTGAGCATCAGCAGTGTGCCATAGGTGCCATATAGTTTATGGACTAAACAAGCAGAGAAAAGCATCAGCCTTCAGAGTGACTCTCTGCCTGTGGCAAGGAAGGCAGAAAATATTGGGGAATATGAATTAGCTCCAGTGCACGAACAACTACTGGGTGTTCCTGTGAGTGAAAGTAGCTGTGTGTATGAGGTGCATGCAGGAGGGTAATGCTCATGTAGTGCCACAGCCTGCTGTCTTGAATGAGCAAGCCAACATACAATTTACATTTTACACTTACATTTCTTGTAGCTGTTTATGTTATGGAGAAGAAAAATATATTGGCCTATTTTTGTGACTTTTCCCTTAAAGCAGAACGTCTTTTTTCTCTTCGTTGGGAAGAAGAGGATTTACACGATAAAGTAACTGGTTTGGTCTCTTTCATTGTACACTGACTGCTTCTGAACATCTAATATTATTTAGTTATCTAAATAAAATGCCTCTTAAACAAAATGATGTTCTGTTTCTTTAAGAAATTTTGATACATTTGAGTATTAAAACTGGAACTATCCAAAAAGCTTCTACATCATATACAGCATTTTGTAGCAGACGTTTGGTTACAGGGTCTGAACTGAACATTCCCTAATTCTGAAATTCAGTTACATAAACTTGATATTTTCATTCTGAGTGTTCATTTACCTTCTTCTAGATTGATAGAATTGCTTTTCTTGCATCTTTAAACATGCATGTTAGTTACTAAAAAATAAAAGCAATTGGAAAGAACAGAAAAATAACTTGAAACCTCATTCTTGTGAAAATCACTAGACATGGAGGAACATCTGTGTTTGTACAAACTGGGGTAATTGGAACTTGCAATATTGAAGATGTAATAGACTTTTTATATCACATTTTTTAAATTTGGGTCATTCAACTTTCTAATAAATTGGATCAGTTGGGTATATTTGTAGTTTGTTTACTTTTTACTATATGAAGAGATTAAATTAGTAATTTGAAAATGCAGATGAGTAACGTCTGTTAATTTGCTTTTTTGTAATTTGTCTTTTGAATGACCTTTAATACTTTGCTTAGAAGAAAGAAAAGTTGTTTTGTCAGGTTTGTGACAACTGACCGGAAGCAGGCACTCCATGCAGGGCTGGCCTGGGAGAGTCCATTGATGAGCCTAAGGGCAGTATTGTTCCTGTGTCTGTGTTTAACATGCCTGGTCCTCTGCTCTGTACCAGTATTGTCGATGTATCAAGAATTAAACTGAGAGTTTGACCCTAAATAAAAATTTACATGCATCTTTTGGAATGGAAATTTAAAAAAAAAACATGCTTTAATGTAGAGAAAAACAGAACCATTGGCAAACTACAAAACCAGCTCTATATATTCTATATATGTTTAAATGTATGTGTATAGGTTACCTGACCTCATAAATCATATTCCTTTTTCTCCGTGATCCTTAGTGGATACTTATTTTACCATTTGTCAGCATTCAGACATCCAGGGTCTCTTGAATTTTTAAAGATGGTTATTTTCCTGCAAAGACAAGAAAAGAACCCTGCCCCCAACCTTTATGAGCTTATATTACCACCTGTATGGAATCTAAAACCCTGTGAAAATCATCTCTGACTGGTACTGGTGATGTTGAATCTTGTCCTTGTGCCTTCTTTCCTGGTCAGCAGCTAAAATAATTTCCTCACTCTTTTCAAATCTTTTTACTATCATCTTTTGTAAAACCTGAATCTCCAGTCATGTATATATTTCTAGTAATTTTATTGAGGCACCTAGCCTCTAGTCCTCATTTTGTCCATGTGATTCCAAGGACTGAAGTTTCTACTTTAAAGATAACACCTCATCCTTGAACATTACTTGGATTGCATGCTAATTGCCATCCTGGAGAGATACTCTATCTGCTAACCTATCATAACTTTTGAACAAATTTTGATTGTCAAATTCAACAGTATGAATTCTTTCAGGTAATTTCTCAGTACCCTTAGATATGGATTCAATTTTGTCTCTCAAATTAATGTTGCCCTTTTCAATAGTATTAATTTTTTCTGGTTACTTTTGATTTCTGATGGTATTAATCCTGTCAACTAGATGTCCATTATTAGTCTGTAAAGACTGTTTCATTTATAAAAGGGCCACAGTCTTTCCTAATGACATAATATGAAGAAAAAACTGACTCCCAATATCCAATAAATTGAAGTAACACCATAAACATATAAGCCACGTGGAATACAATCCATAATATTAACAAAAAAGTTACTAAATTTTCAATATCAATGTAGTCTCCCATATTGATTTATTAATCACCTGTTACAAAATTCAGCAAATTGTTTTAGGTGTAATAATCTTCATTATCTAGCAGATGCAGTGGCTGCAGAGTTGTGACTAGTAGCAAAGCAACTGGTGGTAACAGGAAGGATCCTGAGTCACTTTAGTTTTCTGCCTTGGTACTGGTAAAATACTGAGAAATATGATTTGTTTGACAAATTAAAAGCTAGTAAATCAATTCTATACACTGAGAAAGAAACCCACAACGCATGGGCAGAGAACATATACTGGAAGCTGCAGAAGTTGCTACATGGCAAGGAACCACAGCAGGGAAACAAGCCAGGGAACATAGCAGTTGTTCGTTAGTGCGCTTGGGAAATTTCCAAGTAGCCACACAAAATAAGCTCTTCTGTGGCGGGGGTTCTAAAAAACTTCTTATGTAAAAGAAAGCCAAGTGGGCAGGGTTTAGAGACCTTCTGGGCTATGGGCTGGCTAGGCCTTTGGCCATCCACTCAGTAGGTACAGAGTCCAAATCCACATGGGCAGCAGCTGAAGAATGATGCTTAAAAGAATGCCGACACAACCTCATAATTGAGAATAATAGAGGTTTATTTTTTGGGGGATAGATTCACAAATCAATATATTCTGCTGGAATGGAGAACAGCAACCAAATCCCACAGCTAGAAAAGAGGCCAGATGCATGCTTTACATTGGAATAAATAGTATAAGAGGCCACGTGTAGTAATGGGGCGGCAGGGCTGCGTTCCCAGCACCCCGGCCACCTGCCTGGCTAGCTTATGCTCCGAAATAACAACACACAAACTGTATTCTTTTAATCACTGCTTGGCCCATTCTCTTCTAGGCTAATTCTCACATATTAATTTAGCCCATTTCTAATCATCTGTGTATGGCACCCCAAGGTGCGCTTACCAGGAAGATTCTAGCCTAGTCCATCCTGGGTCAAGCTTCATGGCGTGTGTCTGCCTGGGAGCTGGGAGTATGGCTTCTCCCTGAGGCGTCTGCTCCTGAGAGCAGAGCGGTGGAGTCTCTGAGCTCACTTCCTCTTCCTCCCAGCATTTTGTTCTGTTTACTCCTCCCACCTATCCTCTAACCAATAAAATGGGCCAGGGTAGTGCCTTTATTAGCCAATGACCTTCCTCCATCATTTCCCCTTTTTCGGTTTAAACAAAAAAAAAAGACTTTAACAAAGCAAAATTACATATAACAAAACAGTTATCAAGTAAAAGTTACAATAATCTTTATCATAACTAAGGAAAACTATAACTATAACTAACTATTCTTAACTCCATCAAAGACTCCAGAAAGATATAATATTACCTAAGTAAACAAGAACTAATACTTCAAACTCTAGAAATGACAAAGACATCTCGCTGCCTGGACAGTCACCCAAAGTTCTTTTGTATCGTTGGGGCATCCATCTTCAGCCTTCAAGCCCATGGTATCCAGCCCCGCCGCCCCATTACTACAGCCACGCTCCAGTGGGTGGGTAATTTAAGGGCTACTTGCTGTAGGATTTCCTCCAGCAGTTTTGCAGTTCTCTAATGCTAGAAAGACCATTCCTATCATCTTTATCACTCATAAAATTTAAAATGTTTTAGAAAGTTAATTAGAGGAACTAGAGATAATGTACACATAGTAAATTTTGACACAGGCTATTACTATGTACTTTTGGATGGCCTGAAGTTCACTATGTAAACTCAGGTGGACATGGACTCAGTCTCTAGAGAGTCATGGGATTAAATATGTACAACCATGATAAATCTTTAAGCAGTGTTTTTATAATTTGTCTTCCATATAGACAAATTAAAAATAATTCAATTGCATAATTGAAAGTACATAAAGAAAGATATAAGCAGGTTTTATTGTAGTTTAATTCACATTTATTTTCCACTAAAAGAGAAAAGACTCCAATTTTTTATTTATTTATTAAAGATTTCTACCTCCTCCCCGCCACCGCTTCCCATTTCCCTCCCCCTTCCCCAATCAAGTCCTCCTCCCTCATAAGCCCAAAGAGCAATCAGGGTTCCCTGCCCTGTGGGAAGTCCAAGGACCACCCACCTCCATCCAGGTCTAATAAGGTGAGCATCCAAACTGCCTAGGCTCCCACAAAGCCAGAATGTGCAGTAGGATCAAAAACTCATTACCATTGTTCTTGAGTTCTCATTAGTCCTCATTGTCCACTATGTTCAGTGAGTTCTGTTTTATCCCATGCTTTTTCAGACCCAGTACAACTGGCCTTGGTGAGTTCCCAATAGAACATCCCCATTGTCTCAGTGTGTGGGTGCACCCCTCGCGGGCCTGAGTTCCTTGCTCGTGCTCCCTCTCCATCTGCTCCTGATTTAATCCTTGAGATTTCTGTCCGGTGCTCCAATGTGGATCTCTGTCTCTGTCTCCTTTCATCACCTGATGAAGGTTAATATTCAGGAGGATGCCTATATGTTTTTCTTTGGGTTCAGCTTATTATTTAGCTTCTCTAGGATCACGAATTATAGGCTCAATGTCCTTTATTTATGGCTAGAAACCAAATATGAGTGAGTACATCCCATGTTTCTCTTTTTGGGTCTGGCTTACCTCACTCAGGATAGTGTTTTCTATTTCCATCCATTTGCATGCAAAATTCGAGAAGTCATTGTTTTTTACCGCTGAGTAATACTCTAATGTGTACATATTCCCCACTTTCTTCATCCATTCTTCCATTGAAGGACATCTAGGTTGTTTCCAGGTTCTGGCTATTACAAACAATGCTGCTATGAACATAGTTGAGCATGTACTATTCTTGTATGATAAGGCCTCTCTTGGGTATATTCCCAAGATTGGTATTGCTGGGTCCAGGGGTAGGTTGATCCCGAATTTCCTGAGAAACCACCACACTGCTTTCCAAAGTGGTTGCACAAGTTTGCATTTCCACCA